GGCCTCAAGTTTACAATTCTTTAACATTTTAATCATCCCTTTTATTGACACACTTTTGGATTCCTTTCCAGTCTTAAGAAACAGGTTTCATTTAGGTATCTAAAAAATATCTTATTTTTCATTTTAAACATGTTTAAACATTGAAAGAAATTCGTTATGGATAACTAATAATGCTTTCAGATAAATCATAAGTAATTCTTATCTCAGGTACAAGGTTTTCTGTGACTGATGAGAAACCATTAAGACAAGATGAAAAGACTCAGACCTTTCTATAAATCAAAAAATTAAAAAAAAAAAAGACTCAGACCTTATTTGGTCAAAGCAGATTCTTTGTATGGTTCATGAAACCAAGCATGTCTCTGGGAGGGAGGCAAAAGAAGAAAATATATGATTGGCTGTTTTCAATGGCTGGGCAAGTCTGGAGCGTTTAGAAGCAAGGGTGTTTCTAATCTATGAAATCCATGAGAGTAAGGGTGAGGTCTGACATAGCATGTGCTATGTCTTCCACAGTTAACATCAGATCTAGTTCAAAGTAAGGTGTTCACTCAATACATGTTGACTAACTGATACAGTTCTAACAAGCTCTGTGTCCTCTCTTAAATAACACTTCTAACATTTTATTTTTAAACGACAAATGAAGAAAATGAAGACTGATGATCTCTTTCTCTCAAGTTAGTTGGGACATTGCACCATAATCTGAAGACTTACAGTGTGTCAACCACATTCAGAGCCTTCAGATTTGTAATCTGTAAGCATAAATTTTAAAAATGGAAACATCATTCCAAATATATTCTATTCCAAGAAACCAGAGAAAATTAATTTATTTCACGAAGAGAAAAAACGCACACCGATATTTTCCCTTCAAAAAGGAAAACCAATGTAATTTATGGAACAATGATATGCAGTTTAAATTGTGGCATTAAACAGGGCCCTATCTCCAACATGGATAGTTGCTGTAGTCTATATTTGAGTATAAAATTAAGGGAACATTGTAGCCTTTCTGTATGAAAACTACCTGTGTTTTTATACAATAGGAATTCATAATTGTCTATATTCATACACTCCTTAACACTTTTCTGAGACTTTAAAAAATATATTGGTTGTTTGTAAATGTAAAAAGTCATTTGATGCTTAGATGGAGAGGTGTCTTTTGTTAGGAAGAAAACACTTCAGTGATTCTAAGATTTCTTTCTACTGAAATAAGTATTAACAGCCTATTGGTTAACTTATTGAAGGAACATGAATTTCTTCTAGAAAAGTATTTCCCATTTAGCTAGTCAGTTTAATGGGATATTTTTAGGTAACTTCTAACTCATAATTTATTTTGACCCTAGGCAGAAAAAACAAACACATAATCACTGTACTTGTTATTTGAAAAAACAACTCTTGTAGATAGGTATGTATATTTTAGGAGAGGCAAGACTGTTAATAAAAATAATGTAATTCTGGACACCCAGGGTTAAAATTTAATTGGTGATAGTTTTTGTTTAATTAAGTAATTTATTCTTACTTTAATTCTGTTTGCTGCAATCTTATTTTGGCATTTTGCACCTATGTTTATAAATGAGATAGCTTGTAATTTTCCTTTCTTGTACAGTCCTTAGTTACAGCAGTTCTAAAAACTGAGTTGGAGAGATTGAACTCAATTTTAAACTTCTGAAGAGTTTGTATATTACAGTGATCTTTGATATTTGGGGAAAAACTTATAATCATGCCATTATTTTGTTAGTGATGATTATTGCCCTTACATGTAAAAGAGTAGATACTGAAATTGTGTGTGAAAACAAGATGTGTTTATTCAATAGTCTATCATAATTTATTTCTACTGGAATCACATGTATCTAATAATGTTGCCTCCACCTTGAATGGGCCCAATAATTTTTTTTCTGATTCTTTCTATGGGTATTTAAAACTAAAACCCCTAGTTAGTATGGGCTCTCTTTTATTCTGCTCACTACTTATTCATCCTATGCTAAAGCTGCCAAAGTACCAGTTTGTGTACTTATCAATTTACCTTTCAGTTTCCTTAGGGACAAAGGAATTTCCCTTTGTTTCTTGAGAGGACAGATATTTCACCATATATTTAAAACCTCAGTTATCTTTTAGCCAACATTTTCAGGTGTTTATAGTAGGAAGGCTTCCATGCTAGCTCAATCCATCAAGGTTTCAGAATTGTTTTAATGTGTGTGTGTGTGTGTGTATGTGTGTGTGTGTGTGTGTTTAATCCTCACCTGAGGATATGTTTTTATTGACGTTAGAGGGAGAGGAAGAGGGAGAAACATCAATGTGAGCAAGAACCTTTGGTTGCCTCTCATGTGCACCTGGACTGGGGATTGAAGATGGGCGGTGGAAACTACCACCTGGGTATGTGCCCTGACCAAGAACCAAACCCGCTACCCTTTGGTGCGTGGGATGACATTCCAACCATCTGAGCCACACCAGTCAGGGCTGCACTGTTATGGTACTTACTGTGTCAGTATCATCTTCTCCTAAATTCACTGCTATTTTTACCACCTGATGTTGCTCTCATCAAGTCTCAAATCTGCTCTACTGAAGTGTCATCTTGACCACACTGTTGCTAAATTCAAAGGATTGTTTCTATCCTCTATATCCCTACAGCAGAATTTGGCAGATAATTTGCACTCAGAACATGTTTGTAAAGTGAATTAATCTTACTTAACATCAAAGATCATTTGCCATTCTCACTATAAAATTTCCTATGTTCTTGCTTCTGTTAGCAAAGCTAACATAACACAGGGTAATTTCCTTTTATATCTCTGTATACTCCTCCTCTCTTTCCAGATTTTCTCTTTTTAAATGTATCCATTAAGTATTGTTGTTTCCAAATAATTATTCTCTCTCTAGCTAAACCCACACATTCCCTTATCTTCAGCTAGCACCACATGCTGCCAGTTTTTAAGTCTTTATTGCCAACTCGGGTTTCTTTTCTGACATTTAAACTCACATATAAAATTGCCTATGTGGAGGTCCAACAGGCAACTTAAACTCACATGAGCTAAACTGAAGGCACAATTTCCCTTTCCAGAATTTACTCTTTTTCCCATGTTTTCTATTTCATTTCTCTGAGGTAGAATTCTTGACATTATCCTTCACTAAACCTTTTCCCTCACACTGCCCACCAACCCAAGCTGACCTCCAAATCCTGTAGAATATGCCTCCTAAACAGTTCTTGAATCGTTCTTTTCCTTTCCATCTCTGACAATTACTTAATTTAGATCCTTATAATTTTATGCCTATATTATGGAGATGGCCTCATCTCCAACCTCAGGTTTTAATTTAACTCCCCTATACTCTACCTTCAATCCATCCTCCAACCTCCTGACAATTTTATCTTAAAAATTACATCAGGTAATGACATTTTTAATATTTAAAATTCATTGGTATCTTCTTACCACTCTCAGGATAAAACCTATTCTCTTTAGTATGGCATTCAAAGTCTATGCTGATTTTTTTTTCATACTCCTATCTCAACACATTCCCTTTATACTCTATAATCCAGCCACACTGAACTATTTTCAATTCTCAGAATGAGTACTTGCACTTATGCAGCATTCACTGGTTCACTAGCTTCTATTAGGTTCCACTATTACGGAGCACTCATCAGACTATTTCATAATTGCTCATAATTACAGACCTTATGTTATTTAGGCATCTTTAGCAATCATGTCATGTTTAACACACACTAGGACCTCAATACATGTTAAATGAATGAATATAAATAAATATGTTGAGAGAACCAAGATGGTGGCATAGGTAAACATCTGTATTCACTGCCTCCCACAACCACATCAAAATTACAACTAAAATACAGAACAGCCATCATTCAGAACCACTTAAAATTTGGCTGAATGGAAATTATATAACTAGAGAAATAAAGAAGAAAGTACACCAAGACTGGTAGGAGGTGTGGAAATGCAGAACGGACTGGTCCAACACCCACATTTGACATTTTTTCAATCAAAAGGGATGTTTTATTACAGAGGTCTCCCATGAGGAGCAAGGGGTCCCAGCTCCACACCAGACTCCCAGTTGAGAATTCCAGGTCTAGGAAGAGAAGTCCCCATAACTTTAGGCTGTGAAAACCAGCAGAGATTGTGGATGAGTAACAGAAGAATGCTGGAGACCCAGGCAGTTCCTCTTAAAGGACCAGTTCATGAACTTACATGGACTCACTCTGAGCTCCAGCAATGGGACAACAGCTCAGGGATATCCAGGGACATTTGGGGAGGAACTGGATTGTCTGGCATTGGAGCAAGAATTTGGGGGTGGCTTTCTCCAAGACAAGGGTGTTCACAGTGGTCATTATTCTTATCTGAGACCTCCTTCCATCACAGAGCTGACTGATAGCCATGTCTGAGTTTCCATCAGCTTGAACCACACTGTTCACACAGCCCTGGTGATTTCCTGAGACCCCACCACTTCCAATTTGCAGCCCCACTAAAGGTATTTGCTGTGGCTTTTCCATATGAATGGCCTGCTCTGGCTCAGGCTTCGGGCTTTTCTAAAATCTCTCAAACAAGCAGCAGTTGGAATCAGTGTGCCCCATACCTATCAATAAGAGGCCCAAGACAGCCCGGATGGTGTGGCCCAGTGGTTGGGCATTGACCTATGAACCAGGATTTGATTCCAAGTCAGGGCACATAGTTTGATTTCAGGTCAGGGCACATGCCTGGTTTGCAGCTCAGTCCCCAGTGTGGAGCATGTAGGAGGCATTCAATCAATGATTTTTTTTTCTCATCATTGATGTTTCTCTCTCCTTCTCGTTCTCCCTTCCTCTCTGATATTTATAAAGAATATATATTTTTTTAAATATTAAAAAAAATAAAGGCCCAAGACAGCTTGGCCTCGCCTGGGCACTTTCAGGTCCAAAACAAGTAGCAGCCACCTGCAGATCACTATGTAGTTCCTGCCAGGTTGCCCCAGGCATTGGATGACTTTGTACATACTGGGAGGCTCCAGAGCCAGTGTACATGGTGGACAGTTTCAGATCATACCAGATTACATCTTTACACATCCATGAGCAACACACTCAAGAGGCAGATTGAGTAAGCTCCAAAGTGCCACTGAAGCAAGTCCTGATCCACAATGGTGTCTCCTGCACAGCAGTTCTTCCAATGTAGTTGCAGCTGGTCTTCACAGCCAATTAGCCTGGAGGTCAATTCCTCCCAGTGATGCCAAGAGCAATCAAGGCTCAACTACAACAAGACTGTGAACACAGCCCACACAGGGGTGCATGCAGAGTGTCCAGTTCAAGTGACTGGGGGGTCTGAGCCACTGGACCCTAAAGGATACCTAGCACACAAGGCTACTCTACCAATTCTAGGAGACATAACAGCTCTACCTAATACATAGAAACAAACACAGGAAAGCAGCCAAAATGTGGAGACAAAGAAACATGTCACAAATTAAAGAAATGGAAGCAAGCAAAGTACTGGATACATAGTTCAAAACAATGGTTATAAGGTTGCTTAAGGATCTTAATCAGAGCTTTAAGGAACTTATTGAGACTCTCTAGGATCTTAGTGAGAATTTCAAAGACATGAAAAAGGACCAGTCAGAAATGAAGTAGACACTAATTGAAATGAAGAATAATTTACAGGGACTCAACAGTAAAGTAGAGGATTCCAAGAATCAAATCAATGATTTGTAATATGAGTAAGCAAAAACATCCAATCAAAAGAGTAAAAAAAACAAACAAAAAAATCCAAAAAAGAGAAGAGAGTGTAAGGAGTCTCTAGGATAGGAGAATCTCAAGCATACCAACATTTCTATTTTGGGGGTGCCAGAAGGAAAAGAGAGAGAGCAAGAAATTGAAACCACATTTGAAGAAATGATAGAAAACTTCTCCTATCTTGTGAAGAAAAATAGACTTAAAAGTCCAGGAAGCACAGACTCCCAAACAAGAGGAATCTCAAGAGGCCCACACTAAGACACATCATAATTAAAATGCCAAAGCTTAAAGACAAAGAGAGAATCTTAAAAGCATAGGAGAAAAGTAGGTAGGAAGAAGAAGGAGGTGGACAAGGAGGAGGAGGAGGAAGAGGAGAAGGAGGAGGAGAATGAACAATAAAATGGCAATAAATACATATCTATCAACAATTGAATCTAGAAATCAAAATATATGATACTGATGAATAAAATAGAACCAGAGGCATAGAAACATGGAACATATTACCAAATCTCAGAGGGAGGGGGGAAGGTGGGTGGGAAGAGATTAGCCAAAGAACTTACATGGATATGTGCATTATCCATGAATATAGATAATAGGGGGTGAAAGCTTTTGCAAGGTGGGAGCCAGGGGGAGGAGGGTCACGGGGGTAAAAATGGGGATATCTGTAATACTCTTAACAACAGAGAATTTTTTAAATTTAAGAAAATAAATTTGTATGTTAAGATAATTTTTTTCTACTATCTATCATTTAATGGAGTTGTTACTAGTAATAATAATAACACAAATATTTACATCTATATCATATATCTATCTAGCATCTATCTATCAATCTATCTATCTACATCTATCTATCATCTCTATCACTTTCATCTATCAATAATTACCTGCTACAGGTCAGGCACTATTTTAAGTGTTTTATAATATGTCAACTCAGTTAATACTCAGAACAAACTTTGCATTCCAATTCTTCAGAAATCAAGGCACAGAGAGATTATGTGACTTGTTCAGGATGGCATAGCCAATAAGTGGTGGACCTGGGTTTCAAACCCAGGCAGTCTGTCTCCAGAATCCATAAAACGTTATAAGGAGAGAATAAAAAGGGCATATTTTATGGATGATTCAAAATGCATTATCAAGACCTAAATTATTGATAGTTGAAGATTATGCCCTTGCAATTTACATTTCATGTGACATATATCGAGCATACAACTTTAATATAAAAATTAACCTTGGTTTTGCCAATTTACACTGTTGTTATTTGGTTTCTGAGTTTTCTTTCTTGGGCTTATGTTTATTTTTTGGCTGCATCTAATCTTTTCCATGTGTATCATTTCATACACCATTTTGTATACGAACCAGGTCAAGACAATCTATAATAGGTTTTAACTTAAAAACATGTTGACTTCAATGATTCCCAAGATTTAAGCTTACTTCAATTATTATTAAAGTGAATGTTTCTGTCTTTAGCTTTTGTATTCCTAAACTGAGAAGAAATTATTCCAAACGTGTCTTCTTTTGGTTTATTCAACTGTTTGAGATCTGATGATGAAATTGGAATAATTGAATAGCAGCAATAATTGCTTTTATAGGTATCTATAATAATTGAGGTTTTCAGAAACATGTAATATTTTAATAGTGGTATTTCTCCCATGCCAAATACAAAGTATTATTTTACACATAATAAACCCAGAATTGTAATTTTTAAGAACTGGTAATTTGATAGGTATTAATTTTATGGTCAATGATGACATGTTTCTGAAGTATATACAGTAATTTCTGCAATATCTTACTATTTGGAGATTTGATTGATATCTCTCACCCCTATCTCTTTTCTAACCCAAGTCGTCCATGGCTCAAAGTGACTGTCTACTAAAGATTTGTGTTAACAACCAGAAATATACTCTATAGTTTGAAATTATGAACCTGCTGCACAGTGAAAAGGCCATTAACATTTCTTCTTTCATAAAGCATTGCTGTGGCTTCCATTTGTGTTGTAAACAAGAGACTGACTTTTATAACTAGGACACAAAGTTGCAGGCCTTACCTACTGATGGAGTGATTAATTACAATAAATGTTCACTGTCATTTGAAACACTATTAATATTTTTTAATTGTATAAAGTAAGCAAGTGCTATATGTTACTTTGCTTTCCAGTCCTAGGCTCATTCAGATGATGTGGGGAAAGAATTGTTTTTTTTCTTTTATGTTTTTAGCAGTTCTGTTAGGTATGTTGTTTATAGAATTAGAACTTTTTTCATTCTTTTTCAGCTTTATCTTTTCCTTTCACTATTGACTTTGTTTGACATAAGGAGAGGTTAATGGAACACAGTTATTTCTTTGCTTTTTGTTGGTCTTTGACAATCATTGTATTTACAGTCTTCTTTCAATCAGTTTGGAAGGAATTTACCTGGTTTTGAGTAATTTACTTCTATAATTAAACCTATATACTCTTCAAGACAGCAAAAACATTTCCATTGCTATGAGCCATGTGGAACTTGTGACTCTGCTGGTTCTTATTGGCAAGGGTAGCCTATGTCTTCTTTCTGCATCCACTGCCCAAAACTTTGGCATTTGGCAAGAGTATCTGCACACATGTGATTACTAAAAAATAAATAAATAAATAAATAAATAAATAAATAAATAAATAAAAAAATAAAAATAGGCTCCTTCACCTAAGGAAATGAAATTAGGTGAAGGTCAATCTGTCTGAATTCAATTTGCTTTTTTTTTTGTAAAAGTAAAAAAATAATATATGTTCTTTACATTTAAATCTATTTAGGTTGTTATCCTCTTTGAGCTCTCTATCTCTTCTTAGGAATACATTGCTTTGTTTTCCAATGTCAAATTTTTCTGGACCCATTTTTTTTTCTTTTTTGAGTAATCTTCGTGGAAATTATAAGTATCTCCTGATTTTTAAATATGTGCATAAATCCCCAGCCCATATCTAAAATATGAAACAAAAATTTCACTGGAGCAGTTTTTACAATAAATAAAAAATGTAAATATTTGTTGAATAAAAAGAGGTAATGAATTTTTTAAAAATCCAATCTTAAAGGAGTCTTGTTATACAAATAAAATATCCAAATATTATTTATCATTTTGTAGTTTTGACTTCTTTGTTTTCAGGGCTTTGAAGTTCAGAGTCAGCTAAAAAAGTTAGAATAAGTCTTTGAAAATTGTTTCCAAAATCTCTCCAGGGAAGGCTTCGAATCACATCGAACACACCTATTCACCTTTTCATGAATCAGGATAAGTCAGCTTGACTAATTCACTGTCTGACCACTGGGCAAAGTATAAATCATGAAGGAAAATGTCAGTTGAAATGTTAGTGCACTTTAAGGTCATCTGTTGAATTTTCAGTGTGTATCTGTATCATCCTCAAAAATCCTTATCATTAACACAGTCAGAAAGCAGTGAATATTTACTCTTCTTGTCTCCCTTTTGAAATGTATAAGCAGCATCATATTCAAATCCACATCAGAACAAGTATAGTAAAAAAATTAATGCATGGAACAAAGCAATGGAACTTCTTGCTATGCTTGTTAATCAGATGGAAGTTAACTTAGCAAAGATAAAACTTTTTTCCTATTCCCCCAAAACAAATGAATAAATACAAAAGAAAACAATTTAAAAACAAAAGGCAACTACAAGGATTCTACGGAGAGTGGCAAAAAAAAAAAAAGTTAAAACTAAGATATAAAAATAATGTTAGTTATTTGAGTATTCATTTTCTCATAAGAACAGCTTAGATATTTCATTAATCTAGAAGATTCATCATGTTTTCATAATTCAGAAGACAGTTTACTAAACATGTGCCATATCATTAGGAGATTTTGTTTTTAACAATACATTATCAGACAATATTTCTCTAGTGATGCTTGTACTATATGGAAGGCAGGCTAACATCAGAGTCTAAAATAATTTTTTTTTTAAATATTCAAGCCGGGACCGGTTTGGCTCAGTGGATAGAGCATCGGCCTGGGGACTGAAAGGTCCCGGGTTCGATTCCGGTCAAGGGCATGTACCTTGGTTGCGAGCGCATCCCCAGTAGGGGGTGTGCAAGAGGCAGCTGATCGATGATTCTCTCTCATCGATGTTTCTAACTCTCTATCCCTCTATCTTCCTCTCTGTGAAAAATCAATTAAAAAAAAAAAAAAAAAAAATATATATATATATATATATATATATATATATATATAAAATATTCAAATTCAAGTCTGTCTATGGTCTACTATCTTACAAATAAATATAAAAATAAGGTAGAAATTATTATAGACCAGACCCCCAATGCACAAAATTTGTGCAAGGAGCTTAGCCCTTGCAGCCTCAGCCAGCCCTCGTAGCCCCGGCTTTGACTGGAA